TGGTTTCTTGGTCCTATTATGCTTTCGTGATTCGACTATGCCTTCTATATCTGCTAAACATAAATCCCATTCAAGGTAAAAAGACTGTAAAAGTGTCTAATATTCTTCATAACATATGTCAGTGAGTAACGTTTAAATTGAATCATATTAAAGGGGTTGTTTATCTCGTTCTGTATCATCCACTTCTTGTGTTAATGTTATGGAGTTACTTCAAAGCTACACTAACTTCACCTGGATACTCTACCGATGTAAGTTACATTTAACATTTTGCCAATGTTATATAAGATTATACTCTCTCACTCTCTTATTAAATAGCCACCGATAGCTGGCTCAACAGGTTCACATCAATCAATTTCCTATCATTCCGTGGAACAGCGCAGATCTAACTCTGCTCAAAATAGTATTGATAGTAATTCACCAATTCACTACGATGACATAGAAAATAGAGATAGTTCATTCGACATTCCTGTCACCAAATCCAATACCATTATCTTGGATGAAAATGGAAATCCTATATCCGTGGGGTCAATAATGGTAAAAGAGAGTGGTGAAAAAAGATATTGCCAAAAATGTCAAAACGATAAACCTGACCGAACACATCATTGTAGAGTCTGCAAGAAGTATGCGCATTTTCTTTAATAAAATTTCATGAATATTTGTTGAAATATATACTGATTTTAATCTCTTTTACTTTAGATGTGTTTTAAAGATGGATCAGTATGTACTATTGATGTTAATTTCGTTAATTTATTTTAAAAATGTACAGTTTTTTTAACCTTATTGTTACATTTCAGTCATTGTCCATGGTAAATTAAGCACATTTCACTACATACTCTTATCACAGAGAATTAATGTTATACATTATTATTTCTATAAGGTTAAACAACTGTATAGGATTTCGCAATCATAAGTACTTCTACTTATTTGTCGTGTGGGGTACTATATATTGTTTCTTCGTGACATTTGCCACTCTTCCACCTACAATTCAATATGCTCAATCTTCTTATGAGGTAACGTTAATTCTTTAATATATTAACTTTATTTTTTTGATTATTTATTATCTAATCTGTTCTCTTGTGCCCGTTCAAAGGCAATAATCAACCTGGATTTAAACTGGTCATTTCTTATATTGATTGGTGGTATATTCGGCTTATGTTTAATAGGTTTTGCGGTATATCACACTAGTCTATTGTTTTCCAATCAAACAACTCTAGAAAGTTTAACAAAACATAATTATAAAATCAAAGAAGGTGGTGATGTTACCACAAGCAAATATTTGAATTTATTTGACATTGGTAAAAGGTATGATATGATCACGAGCATTTATATAAACATTAATAGTTTTTAGTTTTGGATGTAACGATTTTCTTATATTTGAACTGAATTGTTTGTTCAGAGCTAATTTTATTCAAGTAATGGGTCCTGAATGGTATATATATGAAATTATAGCAAAAACATATAGAATTACTTAATTTATGATGTTTTTTCCCTTACATTTTTTCTCTTACATATTAACTTTAAATTAAATTTTACGAATAAATACATGAGTAAAATGTTTTTAAACCAAATTAAAGTTTTGCAATTTTGCAATTTTGACACAATTTGAAAATATAACTCTGTCAAAAGAAAAAATTTAATAGTTTTAAAGTAATAATTATATGCAAAATTATACTTTGAACAATTTTATTTAGGGAGTAAAAAAAAGTTAACTTAGTAAAAAAAAAAGAGTTTGCTATTCTAATATCAAAAATTTTCAGTTTATCTATATAAACTATTTTTTTTACTAAAATAATCTGGTTTAACCTCTAAACAAACTTGTTTAGTATATAATTTTATACATTTTATGTTATATAAATTTTTTTTTAAAAAAATTTTTTATATAACTTTTAATTTTAATCTTTACTTAGTAAAAACAAAATTAGTAAAATATAAAATATATAGAATTATGTGTTGAATAAGTTTGTTTAAAAGATCAGAACATTAGATATAATAAATTGTTATTATCAACTCTTTCTAACAATCACTTAAACCAAAACCATACTGAAAGCAAATTGAAGATTCAAGGTTTAAAAGTTTTAATATACTTGTAGATCTTTCTAGATACTGTTGTTGACAAAGACTTTATATATAAAATATTGAGAAGTGAGTATATTTATACTGGTTTGTACTTAGAGTTCAAGCTTTTTTTCTGAAATAGACTTTTTTTTGCATATTTGATATCCAAGTCAGAAGGTTTATTTTAGTAATAGTAGTAATAAAAAACTCCTAGCTCAAGTATTAATAACTTTTAGTATAATTAGTATTCTGAAGTTCAGTTCAGTTCAATTTAGGTTTAGGTTCAAGTTCAATTGAACCTGAACTGAACTTTAAATTTTGCAG